AGGCGGCTTCAAACAGAAGCCAGGTGATCAGCCTGAAATCCATCACACCCTCGTAGTGCCGTCACTGTTTTTTCTCGACTGCTTATTTATTGCGGCACGCCACAACTTATTCACAGCTAACATTTTACGGCGAAGGTATCCCCCTATCCACAACCCGAGGACGCACCTGGTAGCATTCGGGTGGCGGTGGCGGGGATCGAACCTCGGACCATAGGGTTCAAAGCACGCCGGTGATAGCGACTAAATCACTACGCCACCACCACCCACTGCCAAACTCGCAACACAGAGTACACAATCGAACTCTGCATACATACTGTTTAAAGCATTCTAGCCTGATGGGAAATGACAAGAACGCCACTGATGTCGGTTCGCTGCCATATACTTCAATGTCTCCAATCTGGAAGGCGCGTGAAACCTACCTTACCTAAGAACTCTATGCATTTCCTCATAACTTGTCTTCAAGTCATCTGTTGACCTCCACGTGGCTTCCAACAGTCCGGAGCGGCCACAGCGAATAAAGCGCGGTGCGGTAGACAACAGCTGGACACACGCAATACGTATCCTAGCCCGTGAAGTTTGCTAAGCGATCATAACGTGCATTTAATGCTTCGAAAAAATCCCTTTCAATTTCTCTGAAACATCATTTATTTCCAACACACATCTATTCTTTTATTCATCTCTACGGTTTTCCATGGACTATTTTTCTACTTGGATTATCTTCAAGCTGTTTGTTCAGCTAATTCCCCATGAAATCCCAGTTTGATTTTCATGCTACAAAAATAGTTATCTATTCCGAGCCAGACCAGTACATGTCCTATTGTAAGACGCTCTTCTCAACGCCTAAATACTGCAAATGTGAGCGAGGGCTTGATACTTTTAGCTTTCTCTTCTAGGTTAGGTTGAAAAGAAGGTCATCCGTCTGATTCACGACACACTTTTTGCCCCTAGCCTTAACCTCAAATCTAGGGTTATTAATGCATCTTCAAGTGGTTACTTTTGCTGTGCCTTCTCTGCCGTCACTATTTTAGACTTAGTGTCTTGGAAGGCCCCTCCCTTCAGCCTCTTTTTTATTACACAATTTCGTGTGATGAACAGCAGACGGAGAAAGCCCTATTGTCACGAGGATTTGCTGTTCAGTGATGGAAACCGGTAACCTAAGCCCCGGGACTTGGAGTGGTGAACCACATAAGGCCCCCATAGGTTAAGCGTCTGCCCGAACATCCCGTTCATAGGTCACTGGTCATTCTCATCAGGTCTCTATCATTAAATTTACTTCTATCCTTTAACCTTCCGTTTTTCTTTAACCGTGAAACTGTGGAACACACTCACTGTTCTTCAATCCACGTATAATACCTTTCTCTGTAGGAGCTGGATAAAAAAAACTGACTTGCTTGAATATTCCCGCAGACTTTCTCCTAAAATGTGCCGTTCGACTGTGAGATTTCTCAGTTACGCTGCAATAAAAAGTTTGAGGATGGATACCGGTCAATAACACTAGTCATCATCGTCTTCGTACAGCGGGATACAGTCAGGCGAACTTCAATGATCTCAACCAAACTCATAATGCAAACAGAGTGAGTGAGAATGTGGAAGAAGGATGGAGATCGGGTTGGCTGGGATTGCGTGTGGTCCGCCAATAAGCCTTTTTGATTCGTCCATGGATCCCATTTGAGCACTGAAATCCCCGGCGACTATTACGACGTCCGTTGATCTAACACTTTGGAGTAATTGAGAGATATTCTTGTAAAATCCATCCTGAATTTCAGGTGTACTGCAATCGATTGGTGCATACACGGATACGTTGAATAAGAATCAACGCTTCGTTCTGTAGCTGTTCACTCGTGCTGAACCGTTGAGACGTACAGCGCACAGTCGTCTGCTGACTGAAATCCAGTCAAAAAGCGAACGCTCAGCCTTGGCACTTAGCACAATCCCGACACCAGCAATACCGCGAGCTTCGAATACCGAATCGCCTGACACAAGGAGGGTGAAGCGTGAAGTCGAGGTTGGGTTAGAACACAGGGAGATAATTGAAGTAGGGTCTGATAAACGTGTTTCGGAGACACACTTTTATGTGGTAAACAGCAGATAGGGCGAACCCCAAAGTCACGAAGACCTGCTGCTCCGTCTCGGAAACCGGTAACCTAAGCCCGGGACTGGGAGTAGCGAACCACATAAGGCATCGCTAGGTTAGGCGTGTTACTGAACTGGACAAC